TATATATTCGATATGAAGAAATTCATTTTGTAATTATTTGTGAAATAGACAAATAGGAAAACAAATTATCCAAAAAAATTCTAATAAAAAAGAATATAATTTAATTGAATAATGAAATATTTGTAGAATTTTTAAACAATACATTTTTCTCCTTTTAGACATACTTAAAAACTAACTATAATTTAATGATATTTTAAACTACACATTTTAAGATAATCAAAATCAAAAATATGTTAGATTAATATTAACAAACACAATATATTATAAATATTTTACAATAAATGATTAAATTATATGAGAAGAGAGAATTTAGTGCATGGTTTGATGGTTTGATGACAAAAGACGAAATATATGTGTGGTGAATAAAAATGAGTTTAAAGACGAGATATTAGAAAGAGATTTTGATATGCACTACAACACAATCAGAAAAACTTCGGAAAGACAAGTAGGTATCTTTTAAGATTTTCTTACGCTTAAGTAATGGCAAAAAAATAGTATATGAAAATAAAAAAAGAAGAAATAGTTTCGTTTTTTTAATCAGTAGAAATAATTTCGTTAAGAATTGAAAATCAATATGTCGTTCAATATGTTATACATTTATATGTCACTAAAGAGAAGGTGAAAACAAATTAGATGCCAAGAGGTGAACGAATGTATTTTGGAATATGACGAAAAATGATTGAAAAATTGTTTAAAGAAAATTTTCACTAAAGGTGAGAAAGATATATGCACAAGATTAAAATAAAATATTTTTTTGATCTCATTTACTATAAGATTGGGTCAATGATCAACATAAAAATCTCTAGAGATATTTTTTCATGGGACCGCAATAGGGAAGAACTATTTTTGGTATAAAAGATCGTGGGATGGTTGTCAATGCCGGTTTCTCTTTCTATTATGTTTCAACTAATTTCTATAACCATGTGGCACCTAATTATTCATTGGTTTTTCGAAAAAACAAATTTACCATGAAAAAGATATATGTTCTGTATCACTTACAAATAAGTTTGTATTTATGTAAGTGTTCATTTTTTTTTTGTCAACCAATTGTTCATATTTCATATTGATTTTTTGGAGTTTAGTTTAAAATTGAAATGGTTATATTATATTCAAATATCTATTTTACAAACTCTATTAAGGAAAATGAGTGCATTCTAAACGTAGTTGAGAGCGACTATTATGGGGAAAAAAAA